AAGAGTTCAAAAGGGAAAACAGCAGTTTTACAATATTCACCTTAGTTTAGGTAGTGTGCTTCATTTACCCTGCTTTTAATAGTCATGCCTAGGATTGGTCACAGTGCAAGCAATGAATGACCCCGGGACAGAGTACAGTATTGGAAAATTCTTTTGTAGAGATTGACAGGCCTATGGAACATGTACACAATTTTCATTAATGTTAAGTTTAACTTTTTACTTGAAAAATAACAAATTATATTCCTTTTTATAGGAAAATATTCTGCCATAGGTTTTCTCTCCCTGTGTACCATGGTCCTGGTTAGGAAAAAATAATCCCCATACCAGCTCTCAGAGTTTACAGCCCATACAAGACTGCTGAGGACAGACCTGGAAGCAGCATCTGGCCAATAGATGAACCCAGGAGATGAGCAGATGACAAGCCCGGGAGCACACTGTTAGTGAAAATAGCCAATTATGTTAACTGGCATATGATAAATCCTTGTAATTTTTGTTTTCAGGTTAAGCATGCACATTGTGGTTATGCCAAATGTGAGGTGGATGGAATTTCACATTGAACGATAGAGATGTTGACTTGACAGAGATGTTCAGTGTAAGGAAAAGTGTTTCTGTTTGGGTTGTTGCTTTTAAGGTGCAAACAGCTGTAAGTTACAGAAGTGCCATATTTCTCTGAAGCTCTTAAGAAGCACACACAGTGTTTTAATCTTATTTATGGAGTGGCTAACACACCTTTGGTAAATAAGGCATGTGTTTTCAACCTCTCTGATCATATAATCATCAACTGTGAAAATACTCAATAATTATTATACCTTTCTGAGAGCAAATTTTTAAAGGTTAGTTTTGAAAATATTTTTAAGATTATATATGCCAGAGAGAATGTATATTTTCTGCCTTTCATAAACTGAAATATTTTAAAACAATATCTATTAATAAAATTACAGTAAGGGTTGTGATCTTTTTCAGTTAATTTTGTCATATTTATTTCTTTTTAGAAAAGTTTTCTTTAAAATTGTCAATAG